AAATGTAACTCCATAATACCAGCCTAGTTCGGCAAAGGTTGAAACTGGACTTTTATAGTCAGTTAAATCTCTTGCCTAGGGAAGATGGTTTCGGTGGATGATCAAAACATTCTCTGGCGCTGATGCTCTATATTTTGTGAGATGATGCGATGACACACTTCGGCAGTCATAAACAAGTGCAAATTAGAAGTCACCTGAACCTTTTTTAAATAAATAGTATTAGAAGAGTTCCTTTTTGAAGAGGTGTACAAATTGGCTTAAAATACACAGACTGTTCCCAAGGAGTGAAAATACTTTAAATACATGAAAGAATCAATGCTAAATGTGTATGATGACATTTGAATAAATATACAATTGGTTCAAAATATTTATCATAATATCTGTATATTTGTTGTTTAAGCTGCACTCAACATTTTTCGAGCTGTATTACGGCAGTCGTTAAATAATCAAGTCTGGACCAGACAATCCAGCAATAATCTACACAATTTGGGTACTTGAGGTGTATTTACCAAGTCTGCTAGCCTGACCACGCGATCCTGTTAGCCTGGTTAGTCACCTCTAATACTACAAACATGGGTTGCCAAAGACCAATTCTAACCCTGCTCTTTCACAGGGGATTAACCATAATGACGTTGGAATGCTGTAGTCAGGATGTGGGAAAATGGAAAGGTTCCCTGAGAGATGACCGCTTGGTACTCTATCGAGCATCAAAATATATTTTCTTCCTCCATCGAAGAGCTTGACAGAATCAATATGCTTATGTGAGCACTACTGGTTTTAACTGGGTAACATTCAGATTAGGATTGTATTCAGAATTTCTTTCTCTAACATGTCTGATCATGCTAATTATCATGATTGCCCTCATTTCATATTTTTTCATATTTCAAAAACATTTATTATTAATCTGGATTCCCCACTTTGAAGGCTGTGTGAGGAAAATGTGCATTGTCAGTCTTCTCAGATGATTGATACAAACAAGCTAGGTTCTGAATCCATGAAGTGGTCTTGAAGCTGAGGTGATGGTAACTCCCATACTTTGACATAGACTTTAGATAGTCGTAGTGATAAAGTGATCGTAACTCCCATACTTTGAATAGACTTACGGTAGTCGTAGTGATAAAGTGATCGTTACTCCCATACTTTGAATAGACTTACGGTAGTCGTAGTGATAAAGTGATCGTAACTCCCATACTTTAACATAGACATGTGGTAGTCGTAACTCCCATACTTTAACATAGACTTATGGTAGTCGTAGTGATAAGACTTATGGTAGTCGTAGTGATAAGGTGATTGTATCTCCCATACTTTAACATAGACTTATGGTAGTCGTAGTGATAAGGTGATCGTAACTCCCATACTTTAACATAGACTTTTGGTAGTCGTAGTGATAAGGTGATTGTATTTCCCATACTTTAACATAGACTTTTGGTAGTCGTAGTGATAAGGTCGCACTGTGGAACAGGGCCCTGGCCTAAAGGTATTTGCAGTTTTTGCTTGTGTCAAGATTGAATATTTTACCCATTTTAGCAAGTTAATCAATGTTAATATATGAAAATAACCCATGAAAGTTTGACTTTATCATGTTTATTTAAATGAATACCATCACTACTATTCTATATTTTGTAATGTAACACATCCATCTGTTCTTTCATCCCTTATTACCGGTATTACAACTCTGACCTCTTGACCCTTGACCACTGCACAGCATCCAGAGTACACGCTTTGATGGTTGGGTTCCTCTGAGTCTGACTGGTGATTAATCCAATTAGTTACCAATCAGAGAAATTTGCAGATGTTCTGATTCTGTGCCGTAACCATGGTAACCTAGAATCATATTGACTGAAATGTTCTCCTCTGTGATTGCTGTATACATAGTTACTGGATAAACGATCTCACTTTCATGTCATTAGATGACAGTGTTTCCTTGGTCAATGTGTGACCCCCTTTGTTGGCACCTCCCAGGCTGGGAAGTGTCATAGATCCTGATTAAATTAAGCTACCGTATTCGACGTAATAAGCGCCCAGGGCGCTCTCAAAATTAGAAACAGGGGGCTCTTATAAGAATATTATTTTGGTGGAAAAAACAGATTTGAAAGATAAATTTTGTGGTTTATGCTGACAGACTGAAATGTTTATATACGACAGATATATTTTTTCAGAATTTAATTGCCCATAATTAAGGGTGCATGTAACACACGAGTGCGTATTATGCGCGAGTAAATAAGTCTTGTGTACAATGATCAATCAGAAGGGGTGCTAATTGGGATTGTTCACTAGCCAATATATGAGCAATTATCGCCGTGGGCGCTTATTAGAGCGGAGCGCTTATTACGTCGAATACGGTATCTCTGATTCGTATACAGAGGCAGGGGTGCCCAGTTGTCTAAAGTGCCCGAATTTGATGTACAGAGCTGCATCCCTTAGGCAAACCAAAAACATATTGTCATGCTTTGGAATCCTGGTTTGCCCTGATTATGTTTCTAGGTCTGTCAGCACCTTACCCGTGCTCATGGGTTTCACTAAAGTGGTAGCGGGTAGAAAACAGGTCTTCAGTCATCCTTGCTTGCCGTAAGTGGCGACTAACAGGATCGGGTAGTCAGGCTCGCTGACTTGGTTGATGTATGTCATCGTATCTCAGTTGTGTGGATCGATGCTCATGATAGTAATCACTGGATTGTCTGGTCCAGACTCAATTATTTACAGACTGCCCGCACAGCTGGAATATTGCTGAGTGCGATGTTAAACAAAAATAAAACACCTAAAGTGGTAAGCATTTAAAATATGCATTAATACTGCCTTTCCTTCCACTCTCATCCAGTCGGCATGCCATGTTTTCAATTTTCAGAACAGCAGAAACACAACCCAGTAACTCACTAAATGGATTGACATGTTCTGACTTATTATTCAGGAGTTTCACCGGGCCAAATTAATACCAATCTCATTAAAATCATATCTAAGTTCTCGCTGCCGCTAAACAAAGATCTGAGGACATCCAATTACGGGTCACGTCAGATGACCTTTTGCGAACTTTGACCGACCACTGTAACAACTTACAAGAAAGTCGACATCAGCCAATTGGAAAGCAGCTTTCTCGAGCTTTACGGCACTCGTTTCAACCTGGCGACTTCCATTTCAGACCACGCTTGAAAATTATGTTGACACAGTTCTCGATTAAAAATTGAAAACTGAACAAACGAACATTCCGGAATGTCTAATATATGGTTGCGATTGTATAGCAGTGCTTCCCACGTACTGTGCAACGCCTCCTCCGTTCAAATGTTTATCCCACGGAAGCGAGAGATAGACGATAATTTTGACGGAATCAGTTGTATGGGCCGTAACTGTCGTTCTGAATACCCTGTGTGAATGTTTTCGAGGTTGCATGATTAGAAAACACAATTCTGATTGTCACTTTCATGATCTGGTAAGTGACGCTTTGATTGGTTGGGTGAAAGGTTGTTCTGATGTGACCTGTAATGGGATGTCCTCAGATCTTTGTTTAGCAATAGCGAGAATAAGATCTGATTTTAATGAGATTGAATTAATACTGACCTTATTAATGACCATGATGACACTGCCAGTGTCCAGGCTTGAGTGAGTGAGTTGTTAAGTGAGTGAGGTACTACACTGCTATAAGCCATATTGACAATTTTACCAGTATATCAAGGTATGGGATCACCAGGAATTATTTCTTCAAAGCAGGGTTAGAAACTAACAGTTTTTGCCCACTAGTCCTTATAATGATAACATATAGCAAAACCCTTAAAATCGGCCAATTTCTACTAGTCCTTAGGATACCTTTACTATTAGGCAGTTTGGTAAGGACTACAGGAATAGTGCCAATTTCTAACGCTGCAAAGGGTACTATCATTACCGTGTACCATCTGTACCATTTGGGTCCAGGTTAGACAAGGTCCCAAGCAACCTATGCTTGTCGCATAAGGCAACTAAATGGATTGGGTGGTCATGTCCAGTTGATTGCGTGGTATGGTACCTGACTGCATGGACCGCCAAAGATGTCAATCACTGGTTTGGCTGGTTCAGACTTGATTATTAGCAAAATTCTGGTATTGGTAACAATGTTGAATACCTTATTCACCTTACTGAAAGTTAAGTAAGCTTATGTCATGGCCTCTTTGTCCATTGTAACCATCTTCTCCTCAAGGCTTCACGTGCTTGTTTCCAACAATGATGACACCCAACTTTGTCCAAGAAGTTTGATAATGATTGGAAATGTGGCTGCCACAAGAACCATATTACAAACCTATATATGGCCCTTTTGTTTAAAATGTAATGAAGTTTGGTATTTGTTTGTTATTGGTAGTACTCAACACATATGTTCTGTAATACTTACTCTTCCGACTTTGGACCGCCTCCGTGGTCTAGTGGTAGAGCGTCCGCCCGGAGAGCGGAAGGTCCGGGGTTCGATCCCCGGCCGCGTCATACCAAAAGACGTTAAAAGATGGTACTTGTTGTTACCCTGTCTGGCACTCGGCATTAAGGGGCTAAAACAAGGACTGGTCGGCTCGGAGTCAGTTTACTGTGTCTGAGTGGGGTATTCGTGTTAAACTGCGGCATGGTACCTCAGTGAGCTAGCACTATAAATCGGCATCAGTCCGGACTAGTACAAGCAGCCACACAAACACACACACGAACATGCACGTCGCTATATAAGTGCAATAATCTTGGACTCAACGTTAAACCCCATTTCACCTCACCTCACATGCTCTTAAAGATCTCTTTAAGTGCATATCTGGCTCTGTATAATCTTCTCTGAAATAGCCAGAATGAGGAAACTGAACTAAACCATATTTAGTTCAAATCATTGGAGTTAAATAATTATGCAGAAAATATTTTGAATATTGTGTCCAACAGCAACTTTTGTCTGTCTTTGTTGACATTTTAAACTGGTGACTACATATTCAGGTGAGCTACAGTGCCATGACACTACATTTGGCCATTGTTATTAGTCATTTGAAACTGACACTTCTTATTTCCAGGCACAGAAAGAACCAGACAAAGACGATGACCCAGAGAAACCTAAGCTGAGTGTTGTTAAAGATTCCAAGGTCATACAGGTGGACATTCCTGAAGAAGACAAGGACATGAAGCCCAAGAAAACAGACCAGGAAGACAGTGAACAGGAACAGCCTCTGAAATCTCCTGAAGCTGAAACACCTGCTAAGCCTGCTGAGCGTGTCGTAGCTCCGATTGCCAATTTTGAAAGCATTGAACTAGATGATGAGCTGGATGGTGAACAGGATGAGTCTGACAAGAATGGAACCAAAGAAGAGAATGGTACCACGAAACCTGAAGACACAGGTGTTAAGTCCAAACGAAGCGGGACGGACGAAGTGGACGCGGCGAGTGTTTACTCCCTGTTTATGGAGCGAGATTTCCGTTACTATTTTCAGCACCCTTACTGCAGGTTGTTTGTGGCCTATTTTGTAACGTTTTGCAATTTTCTCATTTATGCTGAGGATCCTGTTGCGCACAGCCGTAAAGAATGTTCCATTCCGGTCATCGGGAATGACTTTGCTTTTGTGTGCACTCGCTATCCATCAAATGCATGGAGCCTGCTCAAGGTTTTTCTGTGGATTGTAGCAATAATAATTGGATGCATTGTTGGGAAACTCCTCTTTCATGAACTTATATTCAGTAAGTATCGTAATGATCAGAAGGTAATTTGGATGTTGTTCTAGATTGTTTTGAAATGCGTACAACATGTACAATATTTATGGTGTTTGATATGATAAATAAGAAATGTACCATTGTTTTTGAGAATGGAAGAAAATTTTCTTTTTTGAACCTCAAAATCCGATTCTGCCCAACAGGGGTGGACACTATGACTAAACTAGAACTCATCCATAGCTCAGTTGGCAAAGTGGTTTATGTAAGATGATTATTTGTGGAGAAATCTGATTTCCACCATGTTGCCGTACAATAGGACTAGTTGCCCTGCCTTGCCTTGCCTAACCATGGCTAACATTTTAAGAGTTTTTAAAAATATATTTAACTTAGTTTCTTCACGTTATTGTCATTTGGATGCTTTTGTGAAAAGAGGTATTTTCAATCGATATCATTAATCATGTTAATGGTTTACTAATCATGCTGATTGTCCTACTGATCTGATTGATTATAAACATGATTTGTTACCCCGAAACTAATTCCACTTTTAGAGGTAATTTGTGTTTAACACAGATTTGTATAGTATTTCATATCATAGAAACCCATTTAAGTGTTCAAGAAATGCTTGTGTGAGGCAGATCATGTAAAGTTATGACTTGAAGGCAAACCCAAGAACACATGTATGCTTCTCGAAGGCAAAGGCTTATATACAGGCAAATCTTGGATTCAAACCACCATCTACGAATCCTTTGACCACTGGACCACCTGTACCCCACATATAGGTGAAGTCATTTCATGATACAAGACCTTTACATGATTTTGACATGTTTGAGGTCCAATCTAAAAAGTTTTATAATATGATATACATGTATTCTAGGTTTGGAATGAGGATTGCATGCTCAGCACATAATCTTTGTGTCTTGATTTGAGCATGTGAGAAAAATTTTCAGATTCTTTGGTAAAATTCTGCATCATGTTAGATCAAAGGCAAAGAGCTTCTTGTTTATGTTACCATGGTTACGTTGGTTTTCATCACGACTAGTAGTCACTATATAGTCATTCTCAATTTTCTTCACTTTCTTCTTTTGAGCATCTTTCAACGGGTCATCCCAATTGCCCTCATTTATAGGCTGCTTGTTTCCACAGAACTTGTCCACCCAAACCAACTAAACTTGCCAATTGGTAAGGTTCCATGACAATGTCTGGCATTGTACCTCGAAGGCATGGATCTTTGTTTCCAGAAATTCTGTCTTTTAATAGTTCAATATATTTTTTTGCATTTCAAAATTCATGTTTCCTTTCGACAAACATGTCCAAAGAATGTCATTACAAGGCTTAAACCTTGTCATTTTTAAAATGCTTTTTTTGCATGTTTAGAGTTTGGTGATTTGACATGTTTAAGTTAATGAAGAGTTTGTGAGATTCAGGGAAGACCACACTCCATTAATCACAATAGTGCTATCTGTAGGGAACTTGTCCAGTTTAACACTTTTCTTTATTAATGAATCATATATTATGCTCCAGAACGGTAAAATTCCAGATGGCACTGACAGGGCTTCTGAATTACCAAAGTCGAGACTAACAGCATGCCACTGTACATGGTGCAGGTGTAAACTAGAGACTACTGTCTATGAAGTTCTACCAACCCCTGCAGTTTCACCCATCCATTGAAGCTTTTGAAGGGAAGACTGCCATTTCAGCTGAGTCTCATTCCCACTGTTAAGTAAATGTCCTTCTTTCAGATCGCCTGATTAAGCTGAAGTTGTTCTCCAGCAACCAAGGCTCCTGGATGACCATGTTTTTCTGTGTCATCTTGTGCCTGTTCATCATATCCTGGCTCTACAATGGCTTCCTGATGATTGGAGGTGACGCCACGGAGCCATATCGGATCTCCTCCCTGATGGGCATCTCCAACTCTTTCTTCACCAAGGCTGCAGCATGCGGCACGTGGTGCGGAGATTTCTTCACTGCATGGATGGTAGGTCGTCATGGCTTATAGGACCGTTTTACTTTTTTTTTATGGAAATCAATTTCAAAGTCATAAGACATGTCGTGTGTAAGAGACAGTTTGAGAAGAAAGTTATAGACATAAGTTTCAAGTATAAACATGAGAGTGAAATATGAAAAAAGGAATCTAAAGATGGGTTCCTTTGAGAATTAAGTCATAGAGTTGTTACATTGCTACATAAACTGAGCAGTCTTGAACTGAGCACACATGAAAGCTCTCACTCTCAACTGGTTGGGTAGCCTAAGGGTTAAAGTGTTCGCTCATCACGGTTTGATATCCCTCCTGGGGACACTGTATGAAGCCCAGGTCCCCTGCTCAAACTATGATGCCTTTCTGAATAAAAATTTGAAAAAAACCAACTATGATGCCTTTCCCATATTGAAGTATTTTATTACTGAACTGTGGTCTATCATCTTTATGAGATATGAAGAACGTCCATGTTTGGCCAGCTCAAGTGTTTTAAAGTAGTGCCAAGATTGGTCCGCTCTGATGTTAGAAAGTACTGCCAGGATTGGTCAGCTGTGATGTTAGAAAGTACTGCCAAGATTGGTCAGCTCTGATCATGTTCTGTGCCCCATTTGCTGTGATGTTCTATTCCCAACATGAGCTGTTATCTTGTATGTCCCCTGAGCTGTGATGCTCTGATGTCCCGTGTCCCAAGAGCTGTGATGTTCTGATGTCCCGTGTCCCAAGAGCTGTGATGCTCTGATGTCCCATGCCCCCTGAGCTGTGATGCTCTGATATCCCATGCCCCCTGAGCTGTGATGCTCTGATGTCCCATGCCCCCTGAGCTGTGATGCTCTGATATCCCATGCCCCCCAGAGCTGTGATGTTCTGATATCCCATGCCCCCTGAGCTGTGATGCTCTGATGCCCCATGCCCCCCGACCTGTGATTTTCTGATATTCTATTCCCCCCCGAGCTGGGATGCTCTAATGCCCCATGCCCCATGAGCTGTGATGCTCTGATGTCCCATGTCCCCTGAGCTGGGATGCTCTAATGCCCCATGCCCCATGAGCTGTGATGTTCTGATATCCCATGCCCCCTGAACTGCGATGTTCTGATATCCCATGCCCCCTGAACTGTGATGTTCTGATGTCCCATGCCCCCTGAACTGTGATGTTCTGATGTCCCATGCCCCCTGAGCTGTGATGCTCTGATGTTCCATGTCCCCTGAGCTGTGATGTTTCTCCCCTAGGTTACAGACATCATGCTGCAGGAGAAGCTGTACCCGAGTTGGGCGCCGAAGGTTCGAGCGTGGTGGATAAGACATTATCACCGTATCATCCTGTTCTGGGTCATCACAAGCTGTACGTCATTCATCGTCATATTCGTCATAGCAACTGATTACATCAGTTGGGACAAACTGAACCGTGACTTTCTACATACCAATGAGCTGTCCCGATCATTCCTTGCATCGTTCATTCTGGTCATGGATATGATAATTGTTATGCAGGTGAGATTCTTCTTTATCGGTATTGAATAATATATAATCTACCATGCTAACAAGATTGTGGGCAACCTACAATCATTAAATCACTGCTGTACAGTTTAGGGCTCATTTTAGGTCTAGGTTTGTTTGTTTGTTTGTTTGTTGTTTAACCCCAAACTCATCTCGCCTTAACGCAGTCTCAACAAAACATTCCACATCACACTTGAAATCAGTAAATACCCACACAAGATCAATGAACATTTAACAAAACACAGGATTAGGTTTACAATCATAAATGGTAATCGATGGCTCATGGAAGTGACTCGAATTAGCCTCTGATATATTCGAGTATTAGTGTGTTTGTTTGGTGTTTAACGCCACACTCAACAAAATTCCAGCTATATGATGGCTGTCTGTAAATAATCTAGTCGGGACCAGACATTCCAGTGATTGACATCATGAGTACAGAGCCAAGGCAATTGGGATATGATGACACGCATCAACCAAGTCAGTGAGCCTGACGAACCTGATCCCGTTAGTCGCCTCTTACAACAAGCATGAGTTGCTGAAGACCTATTCTAACCCGGATCTTCATAGGTCACAAGGTCTAGGTGTTGTTATTAGTGCCATGTGTGAAACTGAGACATTGTTTCAACAAACTAACAAACAAACAAACAAAAGTCTCCACACAGCATCCATGACATGTTATGAGCATTGTGTCGCCAAAGCGGTCCACAATCCTATGATCATGGGTCCAAATCCCAGGTTATTATTCTTGGTATGTCAGTATCGCGCCAGTGCTAGTGGGTTTCACGAAAGCGGTATACCGTATTCAACGTAATAAGCGCCCAGGTCGCTCTCAAAATTAGAAATAGGGGTCTCTTTAATAGAACATAATTTTGTTGAGAAAAAGTTAAGAGATCGTAAATTTCGTTGTTTATGCTGAAAGCCTGAAATGACACAAAAAAGTCACGACAGGTTTATTTTCCAGAATTTAATTGCCCATAATTAAGGGTGCATATAACCATAGAGTGCATATTATACACGAATAAATAAGTCTTGTGTACATTGATGGAGCGGAAGGGGTGCTAATTTGGATTGTTCACTAGCCAATATATTAGCAAATATCACCATGGGCGCTTATTAGAGCGAGGCGCTTATTACGTCGAATACGGTAAGTCTAAAACCTGAATCACTTCCGGTGTTCCTCCCAAATTAAAATGATGCTTAAATCCTGTTCATGAAGGTGGTGGCATTACACCCAGTGTAATCTGTCTCTGTGCAGGACTGGGACTTTCCCCATTTCATCAGTGCCATAGACATCAAGCTGCCTGGTCTCAACACGGCCCACATCAAGTTCCAGATTCCTATCCCCAAGATCCTCCGGAAGGAGTACTATCAAGTCCACATCACAGGTAGGCCAACACTTTATAGGGCTACTCCACCTTGTCCCATCACAGAGAGGCCAACACTTTATACAGGTGCTCCACCTTGTCACATCACAGAGAGGCCATCACTTTATAGAGGTAATCCACCTTGTCACATCACAGGTAGGCCAACACTTTATAGAGGTGCTCCACCTTGTCACATCACAGGTAGGCCAACACTTTATAGAGGTGCTCCACCTTGTCACATCACAGGTAGGCCAACACTTTATAGAGGTGCTCCACCTTGTCACATCACAGGTAGGCCAGCACTTAATAGAGGTGCTCCACCTTGTCACATCACAGGTAGGCCAACACTTTATACAGGTGCTCCACCTTGTCACATCACAGGTAGGCCAACACTTTATAGGGCTGCTCCACCTTGTCACATCACAGGTAGGCCAACACTTTATAGGGCTGCTCCACCTTGTCACATCACAGGTAGGCCAACACTTAATAGAGCTGCACCACCTTGTCACGCTACATGTAGGCCAACACTTTATAGAGGTGCTCCACCTTGTCACGCCACATGTAGGCCAACACTTTATAGAGGTGCTCCACCTTGTCACGCCACATGTAGGCCAACACTTTATAGAGGTACTCCACCTTGTCACGCCACATGTAGGCCAACACTTTATAGAGGTGCTCCACCTTGTCACGCCACATGTAGGCCAACACTTTATTGAGCTTCTCACACTCTGAATTAATCTGCAAGTTTCAAGGATGCTCTTCAGTGTTTAAAGGGGCATTGGTTATTGTTGAATGGTTAAGCACTGGCTTGTCATTGCAGGTTTGATTAGGGATGATAGAATAAAATAAATATTTGAACATTACCGGGTATTTAAGGACTGGTAATTTATTATGGTGTGTGTGTGTGTGTGTGTGTGTGGGTGTGGGTGGGTGGGAGGGTGGGTGGTTGGGTGTTTGGGGGTGTGTGTGTGTGTGTGTGTGGAAAGGAGGTTGGGGGGTAGCATGGTAATGAAAAACATGTATTTGGGGGGTGTCCGCAAAATATGATGCATTCCTAAGACCAATCCCACTGACCCACCACCCCAGTAATAAATTACCATTCTGTCATGAAGCCCATTTCTGATTTCCTCTGCAGGGATATGGCTGGAACACTACTAATGCCACAGTATAACCCTTCTCACCTACTAACTCAGTGGTATATTTATTTCCAGGAAAGTGGTTCAACTACGGTGTGTTGTTCCTCGTGCTTCTTCTCGACCTAAACATGTGGAAGAACCAGATGTTCTACCAACCCATAGACTTCGGACAGTACGTGGACTCAGAGGGCAAGATCCACACCATCACAGACACCTACAGCCTCGACACATTCAATGAGACACAACTTGTTTTTGATTTTAGGAACTCCACAATTAACCCAGCTACTAATATGACCTACATTTCAGGAGATAACAAAATGAACACCCGTTTCTATGACTACCACCTTGCAGGCAAATGCATGGCTTTCTTGCCAAGTCTTACAGTTTTCATTATGTTTGGGTTTTTCATTTATAAGTATGGCCGATTTAGGCCGACAAAAGAGGATCCTTATGCAGGCAGGTTGAAGAAAAGGAAGAAGAGACGATTCAGTGCCAGATTCCACTGGCGGCGCTTGCGGAACCGGATCAGGACGGCGGAACCAATATTGATGTATTTCAGAAAACGGGGACCAGAACCTATACCTGCACAAAAAACAGAAGAATCGTATGCACAAAACTGGGAGCTACCTGCAAGCCAAGCATGTTAAATGTTCACTTTGATTTAGTTTTTCTTGATTTAAGAACATAACGTCTTCATTTTCAAATATAATAGGATCAAGTTCCAGATAATAACATGTAATTTGATATTACATGTACCAGAGAGGAAAATGTAATTTGATATTACACAGACCAGAAAGGAAAATGTAATTTGATATTACATGCACCAGAGAGGAAAATGTAATTTGATATTACATGCACCAGAGAGGAAAATGTAATTTGATATTACATGCACCAGAGAGGAAAATGTAATTTGATATTACATGTACCAGAGAGGAAAATATAATTTGATATTACTCGTACCAGTAGCTCAAAATCATTTTTAGAAGCTTATACTATTAACAATTTCTTCATATGGGAGATCTTAAGTAATTGATGGTATATTTTTGTAGAAAATCAAATCATTTGTATTTTTGTAGGGCATTATGACTCATAAACAGTTTCAGATTTACCTTATATATTCATTCCCCTGCACAAAACTGAAGAGCTAAGGAGATATGACTGGACTGTTGATAGTGTGTCATCATGCTTAGAATGGGTTGATGCTCACACTATCGATCACTGGTTTGGGTGGTCTAGATCTTATAACGTTACAGGCCACCTTGATATACAACAGTGATATTGCAGACTCTGCCACACAGTCGCCTTCACACTCAGAACCAAGAACATGCATGGCCATGTTGAGTGAGATATTGAAACAATATATGTGTCCCACCAGAAGAAAGGGACCTTATGAGTGCTAGGATACAATTGTACTGTGACGTCAAAGAGTCATTTGACGTCAACTTACTTCAGGAAAAATCAACCTGTGTATGGACTGTACAAAACAATTCTTATTGTTCTCTCGTTAGTTTGTAATGTTATAAAAACATTATTTCAAAACCTTTCAGCATATGTGTCTACTTTCAGTTAATCAGACATATATTATTTCTAAAAACTGCAATTATTGCATAAACAAATGTTTGATCCTTTGTATCTCTGTAATAAATAGGAATTGGAGCTTGTGAACTGTATTTTTGTGTTCCTCAGATACTGTAGTTTAAATTATAATGAGAAGTAAAAAGTTGATTTTTCACACATAAGGTCCTTATGTCATGGTCGGTCACATATGTTAGACTCCACTCACTCACTCACTGACTCTCAGAAGAGTAGTGTTATATGAATGTTTATGTGAAACGTCCAGTGTAAATGAGATGATATGAGTCTCAAATCTGGTGACTGAAGGTATTTGGTTCAAAACTTTTTCATCTTCTTGTCCTGACTAGTCTTTCAAGATCTTATGCAGGTTCTCGTTTTTAACATAGAGGCCAATATTAAGACAAGGTTGATTCTTGTTTTAACACTAACAATAAATAATGGTGTGATATTAGTGAAGGGCTGGAAAATGTTGTATCATCATGTTAAGAGATACAATAATATATGTCAGCAATTGTAAATACCATATTCAACCTAATAAGCACCTAAGATGTTGAGCTACAAATGGGAGTATTCTTTAGAACACGGAAGTTGATTTTGGATTTTAATAAATTTGTTTTCAGATATTTAGAGCTTAGTGTTTGAAATTACTCAATTTTGGAACTAGTCTGATAGACTAGAACACATCCAAAAATATATTTCTGCAGAAAAGATGTCAAACCAACAATGAAAGGCACCATATTTATATACTGTTGCATTCTCAATGACAAGGGGCTGTCGGGTAGCCTAGTGGTTAAAGCGTTCGCTCGTCACGCTGAAGACCCAGGTTCGATTCCAGACATGCGTACAATGAGTGAAGCCCATTTCTGGTGTCCCCCGATATTGCAGGAATATTGCTAAAAGCGGCGTAAAACCATACTCACTCACTCACTCACTCACTCAATGACAATGAAGGACTGGCCCTATTGGAGAATATATGATGAGGTATAATGGGGTGTAATACGAGAGTATTATCAATCATTATCATAATATAATAGACATTCAATACACTGGATAATTCAAAGATAGGGCCACTGTTATCAAATTCTTCATAGATCTCTATTTTCTAGTTTAATATGGATGTAAACAGTTACCACTTCTTGGACCTTTATAGTTTTTGCCATATATTTCAAAAAACATTTTTGATGATGTACCTGAGATTTTATAAACATGTCAATCTTTTTTACTGTGCTAAAATGCTGAATGGAATATTTTGTGTAATCATATATACCCTTAGAAACCATTGTGTGTCAGAATGTATCTGCGTCAAACCTGTTTTATCAAGTTGTATGTACCAGTCTGCAAAAGACAGTATTTTTTAAGATGGTGATCAACTTTCAAGGTTTCTAGTCTATTTATCATTTGTTCGAATCCAAAGATGATATTTGTGAATTTTTAAAATTCTTTTTGCTCTCATTGCCAAGAGGTAGAATACTCATCTGTCAGAACTAAATGTTCTCCAGCGGCTATGATTCCTCAAGATATAAGAAACTGTCAGCAGGATGATATTTTCTTTACCTCCTGCTTTGTGTCGTGCCTTGCCGCAAGAGCTCCCCAGCAGTCCGATGCTATAGAATTGGTCTCCTGTCAGGATTCAGACCTGAACAAACAAAGCCTTACTGCCATTGGATCTAACTTGTACCGATTTCCCACTTTCATGTTGAATCCAGTCTATGAGTATCATTTGTTTTGTCAGCTTTATGTAGCTCTGAAAAACAGTAATAATGTTATTATTTCTTCTCAGAAATTTGCAATGTTGGTTCACATTTATTGAGTTCAGGTTGTACGCAGAAAGGGAGATAACTGTGTTCCTGATTGTCTTTTCTTTATCGCTGGTTGTTTCCAGATGGTTAAGATGTGGCTGCTGACCAACTATTGTGGTCTTACATCCAAAAGACATCTAAAACATTAATAGTTTGGTGAGTCTAGATTTCTTCAGTTTCTCCAGTTCACTAGATCTTTTCAGGCAGTTTAGTTGTTGTTGCTTGGTTTATGGAACAGGTGACTATAAATATCAGGAAGAATAAAATCCAGTTTAAACCTTTTCGATTTCCATATTTGTGATAGAAAATTCACAAACTGTTTCCCTACCTGACTGAATCAAGTGCCACTTACGGACACGTTACTGAATGCTGAAATACCTTTCCTTTCTTCACAGGTACTCCAAAATGTATATGGCCTGTTCTGATGTAAACTTATAAAATGTATACCATTCCTGGCACGGTTAACACAATGCCAAAAGGAAAATGGAAAATTGGATTATTATTTTCTCATGCTACCTATATTTTAAGAAAAACCAAATAATTGAAAAGTCTTATAATTTTATTAGTTTAATTTCAACCAACGACCAAAGCTTTGGAGAGAAAGAAATCTGTAAACCAACTAATAACAAAAGAAGGGCCTGTGGAATCAGTTGGGTGTGATGTAGAAAAGTAAGAGTGTTCTTATCAATATTTGAGTAGTTTGCATAAATTTGAATAACATCATGTAACCATGGTAACTGCAGATGTAAAGTCATTACGTTTTTTCCAGTAAATCACCAGCAATGTACTGAGTGGGTCATTGGTCATGATATGACTTGTTTTGTGTTCAGAGTGTTTCTGAAAATGTGCCATAATTGATACTGATCTCCAATTTATATTTTCATGGGCCTTAGTCTCATTAAAATAATCTTACACCTTGCTATAAATTAACAAAGATATGGGGACTTCCCATTATGGTTCACGTCAGAATGACCGTTCATTCGACCAATCAGGGCGTCTCTTCCCAGATCGGGAAAGTGACATACGAAATGTGTTTTCTAATCATGCAACCTCGAAAAGGTTAACAGGTTTTTTTTCCGAATGGCAGTTACGGACTGTGTGACTGATTCCATGAAAATCATCGTCTTTCCCTTGTTTCAATGGGGATAAACATTTGAAATGGATGACTTTCCATAGCCCCTGGGAATTAAGTACATACAATCTATAAGACTTTCCGATTTTGTTTGGTTTTCAAATTTTGCGGCAATATTTTTCAAACTGGAATCCGGAATGGTGATTCTCACGCCCGAACACGACATAAACCTCTGGATCCTTCTGGTTACCACAGGAGTGAAGAAAAGATCTGTGTTTTGACCAAAGTGAATATCAATCATTGATGCTGTCCAATTGTTCATCGTGGTGAAAGTGGCCGTGTCTTCTGTAACAGTATCCTGTACATGGTAGCCGTCTCTGATGAGTCCATTGGAGCATGGGTGGCCCAGTCGTCTAAGGCGCCGCGATTCGCTGTGCCGAGTTGCGTCCCTTGGCCATGCCAGAAGCCTATGATTGTGGGTTCGAATCCCGGTTCGCCCCGATTATGTTTCTAGGTTTGTCAGCACCATACCCGTGCTCATGGGTTTCACCGAAGTGATAAACGTCAGAGACCTGCATCACTTGGGGCTTTCCTCCCACATTAAGCTGACACGACGCGATATGACTGGAATACTGTTAAAAGCGGGGTTAAACCCAATTTACTCATTCACTGATGAGTCCATGCCCTGCTTGTAAAGGCAAACTGCCTGTCAAAACATGTAGAGACTTTTTGTGCCAATCTCTGCACATCTTCAAGTCATCTGTGTCTACTAGTATTACAATGCACGTTTCCTTTATAATTTGCTCTAGTGAATGGTTTCCTTGAGTGCCATACAGACAGCTGGGCAAGTCCCACTGTGTCTGACAATCAGCTGATATGCAATGCTTAACATCATTGATAAGGGTTCTATTGCAATTGTAACAATTGTCAACCAATATATTTTGTGTTTTTACCAAGAGTATTTTATCATTGTTCTTTGTAACAGGAAGATTGAACATACAAAAAGTTCAGTAAGGCCTTTTTTATAAGTTGGTGTACACAAGATATTTCGTCTACCGTAAAATAAAATGGAGGTGTTTGAAAATATTGTTAAATAATTTTCAGCTTCCAGAGTCGTACTGCTACTAATGAATGAAAAACAAGTAAGTCGTACCATCATGTGATGGTCACACTGGAAGATAGTTGATTGGTTGTATTTTGATAGAATATAGGTTTTTGTACATATTATTCACCATTTCTTTTGTACAGCGGTGATAAATCTTGTGGGTTTTTTTTCATTACGGCTTATTGTAAAGCAGAAGCGGCCAAATTGTTTTTGTCAAAGGACATTTTACTTTTATTTCATTTTTTTGTTGGTCTGTCTCATTAACCAACTAAAGCTAAGAGCTAATGGTTTTGAATGAGTTCTGATGCTCAACAAACTACCGTGTGTTAGTAGCTCATGTTTGTGGAGTTTTTTCCTTTCTATGTTTACATGTGTTAAACAATGGATCCACTGACTTTGATCATGTTGATACCAAAAATCTTTTCAGCTTGTAATGGTATCTCGCAACAATTTCACAATTCTACTGTCATATTATCTTGTAACTATTCTTTAAAACATGTCAATAGCAATTAATCATGTACATAACAATTCAAAACAGAAGCGAGAGTTTCAGATCATTAACGCAAGTCAATGAAGTAGATGCTTTTAGTTTCGCATCATTAACCCAAGTCAACGAAGTAGACGCCTTTAATTGAACTTACACATGGTAAGTAATTTGTTGTTTTTGTATAAGTTGGTTACGGGTATTTTAGGAATTAAATAAAAAGGTATTTTTTGTAAATTGTGGATCCTTTGAATTCAGCATCTGAGATTGGTGTTCAGCAACTATTATTGTGGAGATGAGTGTTGTTGCATGTTACAAAGATGTCAAGGTTTTAGAGGTCTTCAGATCTCTGTGAGAAGGAAGCAGAGAAACACTGTATATGAATTCCTTTGTTAACCCCCCATGTGTGTGTAGTACGGAAGCGTAGTAGGGCCACGGTGAAATATTTTTTTATCTAAGTATCTCCTACGTAGGCCTTATT